TAGGTTGGGAAATAGATGTTCAGAATTGAGACTTCATCCTGATGGATTTTTCAGGATGGATTTTTCTATGATTTTGTTGAATATGTTTTCTGCACCTTTGAGTTGGGTTTCTTCAGCTTCTTATTGTTATTCTTAGGTTTGGCTTTTTTACATTGTCCCATATTTCCTGGATATTTTGTGTTAGGAATTTGTTGTAGTTAAATTTTTCTTTGGTCGATAAACCTATTTCTCCTAGTGTATCTTCAATGCCTGAGACTCTCCCGTCCAACTCTTATATTCTGTTAGTTATGCTTGCATCTGTAGTTCCTGGTCATTTATCCACCTTTCCTAATTCCAGCATTCCTCAGACTGTGGGTTTTTTTTTAATTGTCTCTATTTCAGCTTTTAAACCTTTTACAGTTTGAATTGTTTCTTGCAATTTTTGTTTTGTATTGTCTTCCATTTCTTTAAAGGATTTTCTCATTTCCTCTTTTAAGGCCTCTATCATCTTCATGAAATTGTTTTTAAGGTTGCTCTCTTCTGCTTCATCTGTGTTGAGATGTTCATTTCTTGCTGGTGTAGAATCCCTAGACTCTGGTGGTATCATAATGGTTTTTCTGTTGTTGAATGTGTTTTTATATTGTCATCTTCCATTCCTTCTTCCAGTGGGTACAGGTGGGGTCTCTTCCTCTACTGTTGGGTACAGGTCCAAGGTTTCTTCTGGTGGGTGCAAGCAGGTCCAATGCTCTAATGCATCTCAAGGTGGGTGCAGGCAGGTCTGAGGCACTCCTTTTCCTGGTGGGTGGGAGCTGGATTAGCTCAGTGCTGTCAGCATACCTGTGGTTGCTTGGTGAGCTGGGGGCAAGTCTGCCTGACTGCCTGCAGTCCCTGGCCAGGAGAGATCTCAGAGTGGGCAAGCAGAAGTCAGGCCCAAGGTGGGGGCCGGAGCTCACCTCTGCCCTGAGTCGGGGGCAGGAGTGGCCCAGCAATCTTCTATTGGCTTTTCTTTCTATCTGCTGTGTTTTTACTTCTCAGAGTATTTTTTACTTACTATGTCATATTTGTAAAGCATATCCACATTTAAAGTGTAACTTTTACCAGTCAGTATTTTTAACTTTATATATTATGTTCTTATCTAAGTTTTACCTATATTATCAATACCATAACTTATGTTTTTCTGATTTCGGACATTTTTGAATACCTTAACCCCAACTCTTTCAATTAAACATTTTTTGGATTATAGTACATAAGCTTCACAGTACATACATCTTAAAATCCCAGCCAGATTCACTTAACAAATAAATATACCATATAAAATCCCAATTTGAAACAGTGTGTGTAACCTTACCCCTGACCTCCACAGCAGCACCTATTGCTCTCTTATTTCTGTGCATTGTCACTTCTATGTGTTTACTACCATAAATAGAAATTCTAGGTTTTTGATATGAATAAAATCATATGATGTTTACTTTTTTGTTTATCTCTCCTCTCCCCGCCTCTCTCTCCCTCCCTTTTTGTGTGTATCCTACCAATCTCTGTTACAACAATAATTTTACTGTGTAATATCTCATTATATGATTATGCCTCAATTTAATGTTGCAGAACATTTGGTGGTTTAGGGCTTTTATAAATGAGTCAATATGACTATCTTCTACATTTTTAATGCAAATATTGATTTGTTTTGTTGTATATATATCTAGAAGTACAAATGGGGGATTGTCAATTATGCAAATATGCAGATTTACAAAATATACTACCAAAGAGTTTTTTTTAAGTAGTTGTACTAATTTACTTCCACTTAAAGTGCTCAAAGGGTCTATTCTTTCATATACTTCCTGATATTCAATGTTAGGGCAATTAATTTTAAAAATTATAGTAATTTTTAAGTATGTGAAGGATTAAATTGCATTGATCATCTCTAATGTCTAATGATTTTGAAGAGTTCTAAATATACTTACTATTTATTCTCTTTTATAATATATTTTATTCTTTTCCTCATTGTGGTCAGGTCACCAACTTTTCTTTATTAATTTCTTAGTGTGTGTGTATGGAGGGTGTTGCTGCACAGAAATCTTTTGCTGCATGTATATTGTACATAATATTTTGTTCCTTCTCTGTGGCTTTCCCTTTACTTTTTTAAAGTCAGTACTAGTTCTAGTGTAATTCAACTTGACAATGATTTACTTTTATTGGAGTGCTTTATGAATTTTTATTTAAAGAAAATCTTTGCCTGCTCCATGATCATGAAGTAACTTTTAGTACTATCATCTAGAAGCTTATTTTTTTATATTCCACATTTAACTGCCATTTGGAACGCGTTCTTTATATAACATGAGGAAGGAGCTGTTTATCTATCCAATTGATAAGTGTGATTTATTTGGAAACAATCCTTTCCTTCACTGGACAGAAGTGGAGGTTTTCCTCTAAATCAGTGGACTTTACCTTGTGGAGTGTGAATATGTGTGTGTGAGTGCGTGTGTAGGCTTTATCTTCCATTCTAGATATAATGCATACCACTTTTTCAGACCACACTGTCTTAATTAATATAGCTTCATAAATACTGCTGCCAGTTGTGGTTTCTCCAAATTTTTGGTCCTTTTTCAAGATTTTTTATATATTCTAATTTTCGTAATTTTTATGAAGAATTTATTATAATATAAGCATGCTTATATTGCTATTGCAATTTCATTAGGTATAGATCAATCAGGTATAATTCATATGTTTAATAATATTGAATTTCCCCTTTGTATTACACATTTCTGTGTTCTTTATCTTAGTAATATTTTTAATTTTCATTATAGAAGTTTTGTTCATCATTCATTAGATTTTTTATATTTGATTCTTCAATTATTATAAATGCCATTTAATTTCTATACATCTGTGACTAGAATATAAAAACATAATTAATATTTACCAATTACACTTGCATCCGGCAACTTCTTAAAGTTACAAAGTCTAGTAGTTTATAAATTCTTTTGGACTATCTACATATTTAAATATATCCCCAGTGAAAATGGCATTTCTATTTCTTCTAAAGAAAGATGTTGCCTAAGGCCTCCATATAGTAGTACATCCATGTGATTTTAATGACTTCCTTGTTTCTAATCTCAGGGATAAGGCCTTGTAATGTTCACATTATGAGAGGTTCACATTCTGTAAGGTTTTGGTGAGCATTCTACCTGTATCCCTCTTCCTATAGTGTTCATTATTTTATGAGAGTAAGGCACCTCTGGAAACTCCACTGCAGTGCTGTTATTCTTAGGGTTGCCTTGAGGGACTTGCATGCAATCAAGTAGATTACTTCAAAGGAGGACAATTTTGATTACCTTTGTGGTTTGTTTTTGGAGGTAAAATTATGTATTATGATGATCTTCATTTTAACTTCAGTGCTAATAATGTCTGTTGAGTGCATCTTCCTAAATGGGATATAATATTTTCCCTATAAATAAAATTTTAGTTTTTTTTCAGTAGTTATTCCTCGCTAACAGTATCATTGGAGGATCTTAGACCTCCTCCCATTAAATCTTCTAAAATCAGATGAAAATATTAATGTAAGTTTATTGAAATAAGATAAACTAGAACTAAAGGAAAACAGTAATCATTTTATATAGGGTTTTCTTTGTTCTCAAAGTCTCTTATACCCTAATAAAATACAAATAACAGAGATGAAGGTTCAGTCTATGAAGTATTTCCTTGAGGTAATAAAGATAATAGAATGTTGACTGGGAGTTGTAGAACCCAGTGAGCCAACTGTAATCTGATGTTCTCAGAATTCAAGAAAACATATTTTCATATTGTTTATTCATTTGCTGAACTATTTAACCAGTATTTTCAGTTTCTACATTTAGACATTAGGCTATCTGCTGAAGTAAAGTAAGAACATAAGGCAAGAGTACTTTATCACAAATGGAATTAGAGTTCTTTTGAAGAAACAAGCATTATATTAGCAATGTTACTTTTTAAAGCTATGAAATGCTTTTGCACTCCACAGGTAATGTTGTGTAACTGTAGGTCCTAAAATCAGTCCTACCCCCAGTTGCTTGACAGAACTATAATGTTCTAAAGAAAACAGCCCCTTTTGGGGACAAAGATTTGAAAATTCAGCAAACCTTTAATTTTACTGTTATATCTTCCCAAGTATATGGACTTTTTTTTCAAATCTTGTGCCCAGGAGAGCATCCTCTTCTGTTCTCCCATTAGGTCCTAAGACTCCTTCTATTTCTATTATTACCATCAATGTTATAATTCCTATTTCCAATAATCTACAAAAAACTTAATATGTTACCAAGCCTACTGAAAACTAGGTGACAGATATTTATTTTATTAAACATATCTTTATTAAAATGTCATAGAAGTGGTATTGTAAAATAGTAAAAAAACGGAGTGGCTAACTCTTTTTTCAGACTTAGACTTGATCTAGATTCAGTGGCCCAGTTTTAGTGTTTCTTCTGATAAATTCCTCATGCCTAATATCCCACTGTATCTTCCAAGAAACTTCATTTTTGCCTCCTAATATGCATATATACATACATAGGTGTGCATGTATACGTGTATATATATACATATATATAAATACCATATATATGTTAAATAAAGGCACACAATAGGACTGGGAAGATGCTCAATGACTAAAGTACTTGTCACATAATTGTGAGTGCTATAGGTCAACTCCTCAGCACCAACATACATGTGAGGTAGTATGGCAGTCAGCTTGTAACCCTAGCACTTGAGAAACAGAGATGGAGCATTCCTGCAACAAGGTGGCTAGCTAGAATATCTACATCATCAAGCCATGGATTCAAATTAGAAGTCCTGCCTCAATATAGAAGGTGGAGAGTGATCAAGGAATATACTTGACGCCTACCTTTTATCTCCATATGTGTGCTCACGCATGCACACACAGTCCAGCCCAGCACACAGACCTTCTGTGTCATCATTAGGAAATTGACCTCGATGATAGACTCTTAGTTCACTTGGGCTGAGAAATTATATGCCAATAGTCTTGTATTCCCTTCCTTTAGGACTTGCTACCAGAACTTCTGAGGCAGCACCAGGCTTTTATAGGAATGAAATGCCAGCTGTGAGACAGAGGAATCAAGTACACCACTTGCCAGGTGAAGGTGAAAATCTTTTCTATAAATAAATGAAAGACTTGTTGCTTCCCAATTTGCTTCACAGTTTAATAAGTGCTTCTCATTTGTTGTGTGGAAAACACAGGTCAAAACATGGCAAATAAAGACATGTTGCTTGAAGTGTTATTCAAACCAGAGACACGTATGTCACATTATAAAAGTATGTTCCATGGAATTTTGTTATTATTAAAAAACAAACTTACAGTTGAATGACCTCATGAAGCCTATAAGAAAGTAGACAGGACAGACAGGAAGCTCCAAGGTAATGAAAATGCCACCAACTAGGGTATTTTAGTATAGACTCGCCATTGGCTTTTTATAACCCAGTGAGTTGATTTCTGTAACTGGCAACAGCCACTGATGATCACAGCGACTCTATCAAAGAATTGCCACTTTGGAACATTTTCCTCAAGAACTGTTGTTCACATATTTTATCATCATAATACTATGTAGAGACCTTAAAACCTGACACTGGCTGTCAGGACCCAAACAAACTCAAACACAGTATGTGTACCCTTCTTAAGTTAGTCATTCATTCAAAAGTGGATCCAGCCAGATTTGTAACCTTAAAGACGTATTAATTAATGTTACAGATCTCAAGTAAGATCAGTAGCCAAGGAATATCAAAGCACTCAGTAAAGCTTTGTAGACAGTAATTTCTATTGCCTTCTGGTAAGAAAATTAAAGCTCGAGTATGTCAATAGAAAGAGGTAAAGTTTTAATTATTTATATTTGGTTTAAAACCTAAGATACCCCCGACCCCAGTGTTCATTCACTAAATGAGAAAGCAATATGACTTTTACAAAGTAATTACTGTTAAAATTATATGACTGATCAATGAGAAAGAAGTAGCTGAGTTATAAAGAAACTACATTCAACAAAAATATTTAAAAACAACTTGAGAAATATTATTCTTTCTTTTTTGAGACAAGGTTTCTCTGTGTAGCCTTGACTGTCCTAGACTCATTCTGTAGACCAGTCTGACCTTGAACTCACAGAGATCCACCTGCTTTTACTTCCCAGGTGCTGGGATTAAAGGTGTCTGTCACCACTTCCTGGCTAAAATATACCTTTCTTGATATAGCAGAAGAAAGTAGTTCATTTTTTAAGTTCCAGGAAAAGCCTATTTTGAAAATTACTTCATTTTTGTAGTTCAAATAATTAATATAAGTATTAAACTTGCTTGTTAAAATCTCTGTTGTATGGTACTTGAGCACAAATAAGGTATTTTTATTCTGGTGCCTGATTTGATTTTTGCAGCAACCCTATGAGGTTGCGGAAGAGATAAGGTCTTAATTCACGCCAGGGTACCTTGTGAGCAACAGCTTAACACAAGTCCAGATCATTGAGCCTCATAGACGTCTGATTACTTGGTCTAGATTAAATGGTTACAAATCATTTGCTCTCCTGTTATAAAAGGGTTTAAAATAATAGGTTGAAAACTGAGGGATCTCTAGGAATTCATAACTTGAGATATATTAAACTAATCAGAAATTAAGTTTCATATTCAATAAAAAAGTATTTGAAATTAATAGTCATTAATTAACTAATATTTTCTAAATATAAATATAATGTTTAATATAAGGTCAATGGCGAGACGTATTTTTATGCTAAGGCAAATTCTAATGACAATAACCAATAACTTTCTGCCCACTGTATCTTAGCCTCTTCTAAAAAGGCAGGAGGAGAGGGCAGGTATGGCAATACAGTTGGAGAATACAGATCTTTCATGGCATGGAGACCCCAAAATGTTTCTTTTTTTTTTAACTTTGCACATAAAAATATCTGGTATATTGGTCCCCTCAGTTTGTGGATTAGGACAAGGGAAAGTCAATTTCCATACTCAACAAGTAAATTAATCAATAAATATATGTAAGTACACAGATAAACATCACAAACATTGTCATCAAACAACTTTTATTTTAAATTAGTGCATGCTTTGTATGTTTCCTAGAAGTCTAGACCATACACATAGTGCTTTCTGTATCAGGAAGACCATGTTGCTCAGTTTCAAGGGCATGACTTTGAAATCAGAAAATGTCACCTTATCCAGGTACTTTCTATCACTGCGTTCATTATATCTTAGCTTTAAATGCTTATTCGTGTCCAGAACATAGATGCATCATAATATATGTCAGTTATCTTTAAAAACACAGAGATGAATGTCCATGGCATAAGGAGAGCAAGTTAGTTCCTCTTGACCATTCTAGGCTTGCAAATGCTCATTGTAGCTTAGCCATAACAAATTCAAAATCTTTCACTAGAAATCAAAAAATAAATCTTATTGTTTAAGAAACATCTGAACAGCAAGCTTGAATTGGGAACTTCTAACCTATCTCTTTATGGTGTACATTATCATTAAAGCCATTAACACTTTGATTTAGAATTTGACCTATTCATTTGTTGATTCAGCTAGAGAAAGGAGGATATGGCTGACATTTATTGGAAATCATTACATAATTCTAATGAACCACATTACACTATCCACTGACTTTAAGCTGAATGAAGAATCAGAAAAAGGGTATTTACAGGTGATTAAAGGTCATGCTATTATCAAGACACATGAAGGCAACTAAGAAAAACCATATTTTAATGTCTAAAATTCTGTTCATATTTAAGGGCTGAGTATATTATCTCATCCTGAAATAAGCTATAAGCTCTAATTGATTGCTTTGCCTTGTCATTAAAATTAAACCTAAATTTAGGAAGCATGGATAATATTTTTGCAAAAGTTTATGATCTGCTGATGTGAACTTTAAGCCTGAATTTATAAATGCATTTTGCTATAAGCAAGTCCTTTTACTTATTTATATCATGATTGTTCTGTCTTAACAATCCTACTTAAAAGAAATTTGGGTAAATCAGCCAGAGCATAGCTCAGTTGACGGAGTGTTTACACATGCATGAAGCCCTGAATTAATTCAGGCCCCAGCAAAGCACAGACTAGGTGTGGTGGTGCATGCCTGTTATCACAGCACTTAGGAAGGGCAATGGGAGGGACCCTGAATGTAAGCTTGTCCTCAGCTGCTGAAGCCAGCAGGACAATATGAGAAACATCTCAAATGAAATGAAAATGAAACCTAAATTGATAGGTATGATTTAGTAAGTGGGGATTGAGTAAACTGTGGAGATGTTTTCCTTGGCATTTTATTTCTCTTATATCAGATGTATTGAGGTACAATTAACATTGAATAAAATGTAACTTTGTAGTGTGTAATTCTGAGTTTTCTTGCCTTTGTTTTTATTTTCAAAAAGTATGCCATGGCACATTAAAAATAACAATAAATTCCTGATAATTTACCCAGAGCCAAATAGGACTAGGGTCCAAAGAAATCAAATGGAGACAGTACTATAGCTCAGAAGTAAAGGCGGTTGAGCTCCTACCTGGCATGTATAAGGCCAACTTTCCTTCCTGGGAGAGAAGGAGGGAGAAGAGATAAAACTGTAATGCTTGTTGAAACAATATTTCCTTACCCATCAAAATTATCTGTCATTGTTTTCTGTAGAAGTTTCTGTAAACCATTTGAGCAGCTCTTCCAAAATGAATCTGTTGTGTGTGAGATTGCGCTATATGAACAATGTGACCTGGAAGATTTTAATAGAGAATAAGTCATTATAGGCCAAGTGTGTGGTGTCACTCTTTTTTATTTTTTATCATTTTTAATTTTAAAACAATATTTCCTCATTTTTCATACCAATCCCTGTCCCTCCCCTCCTTCTACTCCCCCCTCCCTACTCCCCCACCCCACCCACCTCCACTCCTCAGAGAGAGTAAGGCTTCCCATGGGAGTCAACAAAATCTGTCACATCACTTTGAGCACTATATCTAGGCTGAGCAAGGTATCCCTCCAAAAAGAATGGACTCCAAAAAGCCAGTTCAAGCAGTAGGGAAAAATCCTGGTTCCACTGCCAGTGACCCCACAGACTACCCAAGCCACACAACTGTCACCCACATTCAGAGAGGGCCTAGTGTGGTCTTATACTGATTCCCTCGCTGTCAGTCCAGAGTCAGTAAGCTCCCACTAGCTCAGGTCAGCTGTTTCTGTGACCCCAAAAGAGCCTTGCCCCCTTTGTTCATATTATTGTTCCTCCCTCTTGTCAACTGGATTCTAGGAGCTTGGCCCAGTGCTTAGCTGTGGATCTCTGTGTCTACATCCAACAGTTGCTGGATGAAGGTTCTATGATGATAATACAGGTAGTTATCAATTTGATTACAGGGAAGGCTAGTTCAGGTACCCTCTCCACTGTTGCTTAGGGTCTTAACTGGTATCATTCTTGTGACTTCCTGGGAATTTCCCTAGTGCCAGCTTTCCCGATAGCCCCATAATGGCTCCCTCAATTAAGATATCTTTTTCCTTGCTGTCCCTCTCTGCCCTTCCCCCATCTCAACCATCCCATTCCCTCATATTCTCCTTCTCATGCCTCCTCTTCTCTCCCATTCCTTTCCACCCTCCTTCCCCCCTCCAAATTTTCTCAGGAAATCTTGTCTATTTACCCTTCTCACAGTGATCCACGTATGTCTCTCTTAGGGGTCTCTTTAGCTTCTCTGGAATTGTGGTCTATAGGCTGGTTTTCCTTTCCTTTAAATCTAATGTCTACTTATGATTAGTGAGTATATACCATGTTTGTCTTTCATGGTCTGGGTTACCTAACTCAGAATGGCATTTTCTAGCTCCATTTATTTTGCATGAAAATTTCAAGATGTCATTGTTTTTTTTTTTAACCACTGAGTGGTATTTCCATTGTGTAAATGTACCATATTTTCTTTATCCATTCTTCTGTTGCAGGGCATCTAGGTTGTTTCAGATTCTGGCTATTACCAATAATGCTATTATGAACACAGTTGAGCAAATGTCCTTGTGGTGTGAGCATACATCCTTTGGGTATCTGCTCAAGAGTAGTATTGCTGGTTCTAGAGGTAAATTGATTCCCAGTTTTCTAAGAAACCACCATACTGATTTCCAAAGTGGCTATACAATTTGTCACTC